AAGAAGGATCCTTTTCTGGAAAGAATGTAGCTAGGAAATGGAAACTGTGGCAAGAAAATGTGGTTTCAGTTTACAACCCCTGAATGGAAACTTCATTGTAGTAAACATGTTACTGCTCTCATCTGGGCCCTGGCTCCCACTGCCATAGAATGGAAGGAGACCTTTGCTAGGGCCACTCTGGTTAGAAAGCATGGCAATGCCACAGAGCCAGAGTGGCACATGAAGGCACTCAAATATCGAATGAATAAACACCACTTGGCTCTTAACACACATTAGGTACCTAAGCGCTATAAAATATACACCAGAACATAATGGCTCAAACATAATAGAAGCTTGCTTCTCATTTCCTTAACAGTGCTGGGCAGGTAAACAGCTAAGCAAGATAGCTCTCTCCAGTGTGCAGGAACCCAGGTTGACAGAGGTTCTGCAGTCAACACACAACTTCCAAGGTCATCCTGGGAATTGTCTCCATTCCCCCAGCCAGAAAGGGGAAAGAGCATAGAGGACCACCTGTGGGGGGTTTTAGGAGCTGGGCAGGCCTAGAAGCAAGGTACAACATTGCCTCTCATCCCCTCAGCCAGAACTGGCCAAACACTGCCCCTGAGTACTAGGAAGCTGGGAAACGAGTTGGCCGAACAGCTGTTCCCCATGATAACTCTATGCTACAGAAGGGGAAGCACAGATTGTGAGGGAATCTGTGTATAAAACTAAAGTATGTTGTAAAAGAATGGTATCTTGGGCCACCTGGGTCACTCAGCCGGTTGAACATCCAATTCTCGATTTCAGCTCCTGTCGAGATCCCAGGGTCTGAGATCAAGCCCTACATCAGACTGTGCTGAGCACGGAGCCTGCTTAAGATTCTCTCTCTCCCTTTGTCCTTCCCCTGTTCACGCCTTCTCCCTCTCTCTCTAAAATAAGAAAAACTAAAAATTTTGTGAAAAGAATCGTATCTTAAGTATAGTCTTAAGCATTGCAAGATTAGAAACAGCACTTATCTGGGGCACTCGGGTGGCTCAGTGGGTTAAGCATCCGTCTCTCAGTTTCAGCTCAGGTCATGATCTCACAGCTTCGCGGGTGTGAGCCCCACATTGGGCTCTCTGCTGGCAGCGTGGAGCCTGCTTGGGATTCTCTCTCTCCTTCTCTCTCTCTGCCCCTCCCCCTCTTGGGCTATCAGAATGAATAAACTTATAAAAACAAAAACGCATTTATCCCCAAATCACAACTTTGGTAAATGTCATTAAAAGTATTTCTCAATTACGTTCAAAGGAGAAAAATGGCTGTTGGGAAAAAATCAGGTGTTCACATCTATGGTTCCAGATAGCCTGCTTGATCTCTTGCTTTTAAAATGACAAGTTATCAGGGTGTCTGGGTGGCTCACTCGGTTAAGCATCTGACTTTGACTCAGGTCATGATCTCATGGTTTGTGAGTTTGAGCCCCGCATTGGGCTCTGTGCTATAACAGCTCACGGCCTAGAGCCTGCTTCAGATTCTGTGTCTCCCTCTCTCTGCCCCTCCTCCACTTGTGCTCTCTCAAAAATAATGAAAAAAAATTTTTTTTAGTGATTAGTTATTTAAGTGCAATCTGATAGATTCAAGAAATTAAAAGAACAGTTCACCAAAGCTATCCTCTGGTGATAGATGCCTTGACCGTGAAAGAATGTGTTTCCATTTTACATTAATTCAGAAATATTTAAGGTACTTTATTATGGTGGAGATAAATGTAACAAATTATGCATTGACCTGCATAATATTTTAAAGTCAATGTAAATTGTAACAGATTAACTTGGAATTACATTTGACTGCAAGTTGTCAAAAGCTAGCCAAACAAGCTTCTACAAATCAGAGATTTCTTTCCTTAAGAAAACAAATTCAAGGGGTTCCTGGGTAGTTCAGTCAATTGAGTGTCTGACTCTTGGTTTCAGCTCACGTCACGATCTCACAGTTCGTGAGTTCAAGCCCCGCATTGGGCTCTGTGCTAACAGCACAGAGCCTGCTTGGGATTCTCTGCCCCTGCCCTGCTCACTCTCTGTCTCTCTCAAAATAAATAAATAAGCATTAAAAATTAACTTAAAAATTCAAAAGTAGGCAGTTGCTGGCATTGATTCTATAGTTCAAGAATGCCAAGAGATACATAGTTATCCTGACCTTTGCTTCGCTGTCTGGAAATGGCTGCTTCAGCTCCAGCTATTTTATCCATATTCTAGGAACGAAATAGTATTGACAAGGAGAAAGAGTCCATCCATCCCTACAGCAAGAAAGCAAAACTTTCCAGAAATCACAAGCAGACTTCACTCCTCTCTTATTAGCAAGAACTGTGTTGCATGACCATCTCCAACTTCAAGAAAGCTATTTTTAGCTACAAATCGCTTCCCTGAACAAAATCTTGGTTCTGTTAAGAAGGACAAGGGAAACAATACCTATATGGTAGCAGTGTGTGCCTTTCCAGTTCTCCCAGTTTCCACCATTCCTTAGTAGCTAACACGGTGTCCATCTTCTAAGATCTTCCTGACCCCAGAGGTATCTGAATTTATAGCTGTTGAAAATTCACAGACCAGAAGTATTTGAAAGTGATCTTCAGGGGGGACTGGGCGGCTCACTTGGTTAAGCATCCGACACTTGATTTTGGCTCAGGTCATGTTCTCATGGTTTGCGGGATCAAGCCCTGCATCGAGCTCTGCACTGACAGCATGCAGCCTGCTTGCAATTCTCTCTGCCCCTCCCCCATCAATAAATAAATAAACATTTTTAAAGACATTCATACTATTTTTTTTAACATTCATTTTTGAGAGAGTACTAGCTGGGGGGGGGGGGGGTAGAGGGCGACAGAGAGAGAGGGAAGACACAGAATCTGAAGCAGGCTCTAGGCGCTGAGTTGTCAGCATAATGTGGGGCTTGAACCCATGAACCGTGAGATCATGACCTGAGGTGAAGTTGGACACTTAACCGACAGAGCCACCCAGGTGCCCCAATAAACATTTTTTTTAAAGTAGTCTCCAGCTTCATGGGTTTAGAAACATATCCATTCACGCAAAATTCAGTATATTCTAGAGATCATGCTAAGCAAATCTCAGGATGCCTGCTGATAAGTCATGTTGCCAGTTTTTAGCTTAGCTCTATCCAGCAGAATAAGTGATCGTCCAGGTTGGGCTCCTCCAGGTGGGCGAAGTGCACACAAAGGCTGGTCAGAAGGTTGCTTAGAGGCTAAGATATGATCCATTGAACTGTGTTAGGCCGAACTACCCTTTGTACTCCAGGATGAATTATGACTGCACAAGGAAGGGAAAGGTTCACAACGCTCACTGAGCACTTCCCATGTATTAAACCAGGTATTTTCAAGGTGTTTAGGGTTGAATGTTACCACCCTTTTCAAGAGAGGAGACTAAAGTTCAGAGGGACCGTCACAGGCCCGATGTTGCCCAAATAACAGAGCTGGAATTCAATGTGAAGTTGGACTGACTTCATCCCACTACTCCCAAGGCGTCCTAGCTTTTTAAGTGGAACAAAGCAAGTGGCCCTGGCAAAGCCATGTGCTTCCCACTGTGCTGTGCTGCCTCGAGTATCCAGCAGCTCTTCTCATAGAGCTGGACTCATTCTGCTTGACATAATTCTCTGGCCCCACTGCTGAGCTTTATATAGGCACTGGCTTTCATGAACCCATAATTATTTAAATCAGTTAAATAATTAAATCAGTTAGAATACAATTTATTCAGTTAAAACCTTTTTTTATTTTTTATTTTTTTATTTTGTTTAGTTACATTCTTCATGCTAAAGATAACTGTAGCCTCCAGGACAACATGACCGTTTCCAGTTCTCAGTGACACGTTTACAAACCGTTTCTGGAGATGGCAGTCTTCTGATGGGACTACTTTCAGACCCTTACATTGATTTGTGTCATGTCTGTCTTAAGTGATGGCTTTTGGTGGTCTTATCCCCATACCAGTCCTGACCATTGTAAATACTGACCACGTACTTAATGCTTTCGGAACACAGCATTGGATTTCACCACTTTGTGTTAGGTGCCTAGGCAGAGAAACAATTTACAAATTCATTGTCTATGGATTCTTTAAAATTCATGTTAATGCTCGTTTTAGGACGGGGAATCTCTGTGAATGCCCAACTCCACTGACTGTGTTCATTGCAGGGATCTAGTCCCACTAAAGCGTGAACCATGCCAGCAGGAAACCTTCCTGCCTCTTTACTGCCCCATGTCCCAAGTGCCTATACACAGCACAGACTAGCTTCTCAACACCTAAACATTTATCAGGTGGATAAATGGAAATCCTCACGTAGTAAAGCAGCAGTTGAGAATTAAACATGTCACAGTCTGCATAGTTCTTTTCCGTATAAATATACCTGTGACACTTACTGAGGCTCTTTCTGTACTACCACAAAGATGGTCTTGGGGCACCTCGGTGGCTCAGTCGGTTGAGCATCTGACTTGGCCTCAGGTCATGGTCTCATGGTCTGTGAGTTTGAGCCCCGCATCGGGCTCTGTGCTGACAGCTCAGAGCCTGGAGCCTGCTGTAGATTCTGTGTCTCCCTCTCTCTCTGCCCCTCCCCCACTCGTGCTCTGCCTCTTTCTGTCTCAAAAATAAATAAAGGTTTAAAAAAAATTTTTTTTAAAGATGTTCTTAATTGTCATGAGAATACCTTAATAATCGCTATCATTATATTAACCTACAGGCCCTGGGGAATGCTTACAAAATAAAATTGCCAAGCACTAAATCTCAGACAATATACTTTCTCACACATTTCAAACCTTACAAATAAGAATAGACAGAGAAAAATGGAACTAAATACAGCCCCAACAAACACACATTATATAGGAAATTATGTGAGAAAGGTGGCATTTCGAATCAGTGGAGAAAAGATGAATGGTTCAATATATGATGTTGGAGCAGTTAGTCATAAAAAAAAGGTAGATTCTTAACACACCATACAAAAACGTAAATTCAAAATGGAATAAACATGTTTAGCTCATACAAGTAATAAAAAAAATATTTGGGAAATATTTTTAATAATGTCAGAATAGAGGAAGAAGGGTTTTACCTACTCCCAGACAGCACACACAGCAGATGGTAAATACCCCCAAATAGAACACCTTGCAAAGGGGCTAAATACATTCTCAAAAAGAAATACTATCATAATTCACAATCCACACAAAAATAGAACATTTGACAGATATCAAGGTCAAAAAACATTTTTCAATAGACTAATAAACTAAATATATAAAAAAAATAAAACTTCCATACAGCAAAAGACATAGAAAAACAAAAGCTAAAAGATTAAAAGTAGGCAAAATGTTGACATAATAGGACAAGGTGTCACTATCCATGATGTGCTACAATGTTATCAATCAAAAAGGAAAAATTATAATAGTAAGGCCGGCAAAGGACCTGAATAGGCAAGTGATCATGGAAAATACTCTAATTCACTTATCATTTTTTAAACGCAATTGTAAATGAGATATTTTCACAAATCAGAACTGATCATTCTTTAGACTGGTGCAACCATGGGAAAGCCAGGCCCACTCAGTCACTTCTTACATCACCAGAGAGCAGCCTGACCAATATCTTAATATGCACCTGGCCTGGCTGTTCAAGTCATAGGAAGTAATCCTCCAAAAACGCTTGCACAGCAGTACGGGTGTTCGTAGCAGCATTAGAATACCAGTGGGTTGAAAGCTATCTAAATGTCCACAAATAAGGAATGGTTAAATAAATTACAGTACTTCTATGCAATGGAACACTTCTATGAAGCCACGGTTCTAAAGAATGAGGTAGGTCAACAATGACTGACATGTAAAGATGCTGCATAATGCGTCATTGATTTATGAAATAGTACATATTGAATGATCTCAATCTATGGAATGTTTCTTAAAATGATATATAAGCAAAAAGTGTTTATATATTGTACCTATCATTAGGGACTGAAAATATGGGGCATTCACATTTTAACCACAAGTGGTCGTTAAATTCCCTCTAAACTTATTTTGCATCTACGGTCCAAAAAGATTTCCAAGTCCTAAAAAAAATTATTATTTGAGAAATGGCCTCATTTTTTATGGGAACTGTATGCTTCCTCCCCAATTCTCCAAAGAACCTGTCCAAAAATCAAGTGGGTCCAGACTCTGTTCTTTCCCTGCAGCAGGCAGTGGAATCTCCTCTACAGAGTCCTATGTCTCAGGAAAATTAAGATCCAGGATGACTTTGCATGACAGTGTTACTCTTCACTATGTAGGAAGACAAGAACACACAGCAGTAGCTAGTAAATATATTGTGCAAACCCCCAAAAGACTCCCGGAAATAGGCAGAATACATTCTCAAAAATGGATCCTATGACAGTTCACAAACCACATGAAAATATAAATATCCAATATTCCCATAGGCCCTACCAATGAGATCCAAACATCAGTTCTGCACTGTCTTTACTGGCCACTGAGGAAGACGGAGACCAGTCAGGCCAGCAACCCTTACTAGGTACAAGAAGAGATGTGGCCAGTTGGCTCAAGGGTTGTATGGAGATCCATCGGCATTGATGGCCCAGAAGTTATGGTGACTTCCTCATTCACCTCCAAAAAAGCACCAGTCTCTTTGGGAGAAGTGGATTTCTTGTTATGGCAGCCTTCTTCACAACGTGTGTTCTTTTTTCTGTGTTCATTCTTCAATCTCCTCTTGTACATCTTGTATGCTAGGTGTTAAAACATACAAGTACTAAAACATCACTTAGCCAACACTGTAATGTAGTGATATTGTGTACTTGTCAATACTTTGGGGCTATGTTTGCTTTGGGCCATATATGTGAAAATACACAGGAAAAAGAAGGAGAAAAAGAAAGGAAAAGAGATGGAAACAGGGGGTTCTGGTTCAAGGAGGCAACATAAGTAGATTCTGAACTCACCTCCTCCCACAGACATGCTAAATGCCTCTGGGAAAAAGCCCAAACACTGTCAAAACAACCCCACTGCATCAGACAAATGAGAGAGAAAACACATGGGAATGAGTAGGAAAGGCCAAGTTATAGTCTTGTCAGAAACCCCACCCAGAACCCCCCCCCCCCCCCAGAAGCCCCACCCCAGACAGGGCCACCAAAATCAGGAGGGAACTCAACACATGGAGCTTCTCCCTCAGGAACAAAGGACTCATACCCAACATCAGGTACCCCAACTTTTAAGACAGTCACCTGAGAGATGAGCTCCCAAAACATCTGGCTTTTAAGACCAACAGGTCTGGTACCCATGAGAACCACAGGGCTGTGCTGAATGGAGGAACTGTATGCCGACTCATCTGCCCCAGGGCCCAGCCCAGAAGCAGCCCTTTGAAAAGTGCCCAGGACTTTATGTGGAAGAGATTCATTTCTTCATTTTACAGCATCAGACTGAGAGGCAGGAAGAGAAACAGACATCCAGGTCCAGAAAGAGAATTTCAAATAAGACAAACTCAAAGAGAGCTATACCAAGACACATTATAATTAAAATGTCTAAAGTTAAAGACAAGGAAAGAATCATAAAGGTGGCAAGAGAAAACAACTTGTTACACATAGAGGAACCCCCTCTGAGGGTTGGCAGATTTTTCAGCAGAAACTTTGCAGACCAGAAGGAGTGGCATGATACATTCAAAGTGCTAGGGAAAAAAAACAAAAAACAAAAAACTCCCAACCAGGAACACCCTACTCAACAAACTTTTCATTCAGAAGCAGAGGTGAAATAAAGAGTTTCCAAACAAGCAAAAGCTAAAAAAAGTTCATCAACACTTACAACTAATGTTAAAGGGACTTTTTTAAGCTGAAAAGATAGGGTGCTAACTAGTAACAAAAATATATATGAAAGTATAGATCTCACTGGTAAAGGTAAATATATAGAAAGGTAGTGAATTAATCACTTATAAAGTTAGTATGGGGGCGCCTGGGTGGCGCAGTCGGTTAAGCGTCCGACTTCAGCCAGGTCACGATCTCACGGTCCGTGAGTTCGAGCCCCGCGTCGGGCTCTGGGCTGATGGCTCAGAGGCTGGAGCCTGTTTCCGATTCTGTGTCTCCCTCTCTCTCTGCCCCTCCCCCGTTCATGCTCTGTCTCTCTCTATCCCAAAAATAAATAAAACGTTGAAAAAAAAAAATTAAAAAAAAAAAAAGTTAGTATGAAGGTTAAATGACAAAAGTAGTAAATATAATTATAGCCACAATAATTAGTTAAGAAATATACAAAATAAAAAAAAATGTAACATGTGACATCAGAAACATAAAACATGAAGGGGGATAAAAATGTATGGCCTTTGAATGTGTTCAAACTTAGGTTGTTATCAACTTAAAATAGACTTTTTTTTTTTTTTGAAAGTTTATTTTTGAGAGAGAGAGACAGAGCACATGCAGGGGAGGGGCAGAGAGAGAGGGAGACACAGAATTGGAAGCAGGCTCCAGACTCCTAGCTGTCAGCACAGAGCCCGACAGGGGTTGAACTCATGAACAGCGAGATCACGATCTGAGCCAAAGTCAGACGGTTAACCAACTGAGCCACCCAGGCATCTCTAGACCATTATAAATACAAGTTGTTAAATGTAAGCCTCATGGTAACCACCAAGAAGAAACCTTTAGCATATACACAAAAGATGAGAAAGGAGTCTAAGTACACCACTGAAAAAAGCCATCAAACCACAAAGGAAGAGAACAAAAGAAGAAAGGAACAGAGAGGAAATACAAAACAGCTAAAAAACAATGAATGTCAATGTCAGTAAGTACATGCCTGTTAATAATTACTTTAAATGTAAATGGACTAAATTCTCCAAAAAAAGACACAGAGTGGCTGAATGGATTGAAAAACAAGATCCAGGGCACCTGGGTGGCTCAGTTGGTTAAGCATCCAACTTCAGCTTGGGTCATGATTTTGCGGGTTCATGAGTTCAAGCCCCACATCAGGCTCTCTGTTGTCAGCATGGACCCCACTTTGGATCCCTGTCTTTCTCTCTCTGCCCTTTCCTCAGTCTCTCTCAAAAATAAATAAACATTTAAAATAAATAAATAAATAAATAAATAAATAAATAAATAAATAAACAAACATTTAAACAAACATTAAAAACATATTTAAAACATTTAAAACATAAAAAAACTATAAAAAAAAAAAAAGACCCATCTCTATGCTGCCTACAAGAGACTCACTTCAGTTGTAACGATACACACAGAGTGAAAGTGAAGGGATGGAGAAACATGTTTCATGCAAACAGAAAACAAAAGAAAGCTGAAGTAGCTATACTCATATCAGATAAAATAAACTTTAAAACAACACCTGTAAAGACAGACAAGGATATTAAATAGTGACAAAGGGGTCAATCCAACAAGAGGAGATAACATTTATAAATATATATGCACACAACATAGAAGCACCTAAATATATAAAGCACATATTAACAGACTGAAAGAGAGAAATTATCAGCAATATAATGATAATATGGGACTTTGACACCCACTCACATAAATGGTTAGAATGTCCAGAGAAAAAATCAAATAAGAAAACATTGGCCTTAAATGACACATTAAACCAGATGATGTCAACAGACATATACAGAACATTCCATCCAAAAGCAACAGAATACATATTCTTCTCAAGAGTAGATAGAACAGTCCAGGACAGATCATATGTTAGGCCACAAAACAAGTCTTAATAAATTTAAGATTGAAATCATATCTAATATCTTTTCTGACCACAGTGGCATGAAACTAGAAATTAACTGCAAGAAGACTGGAAAATTCACAAATATGTGGACACTAAACAACATGCTACTGAACAACCAATGGGTCAACAAAGAAATCAGAAGTGAAATAAAATACCCAAGACAAACAAAAATGGAAATATAGCATGCCAAAACCAAGATCACAGAGATAGGCATGAGCCAGAGGCAGGGGTGGGGGGTAGCAGGGTGGGGGATATCAGTGAAGGGAGTCAAAAGGGAAAAACTTCCAGTTATAAAATACATAAGACATAGAGATGCAATGTACAATAGGTGACTATAGTTGATAACGCTATTGTATAGCTGAAAGTTGCTGACAGAGTAAATCTTACAAGTTCTCATCACAAGGGAAAAAAAACTCTATGTATGGGGCAGATGTTAAATGGACTTACTGTGGTGATCATTTCATAATATATACAAATTTGAATCATCATGTTGTATACCTGAAACTAATATATTGTATGTCAATAATACCTCAATAAAAAAAAAGAGGAAACAATGGAAGAAAATCATTTGATGTATCAAAATGGCTATTTTTATCTGGAATGGACCATTTGTGATTGAAATATTCATCAGGTTATTGATGGCTCATCCATTCAGTCAGTCAGTCAGTTAGCAACACCTGTGGAATGCTTCCTGTGAGTCAGATGCTCACCTGGGTGCTGGAAGATACCTGGGAATGAGCCAGACATGTTCCTCCCCTCACAATCTCACCAAGGAAAAGGAAATAAAACTTGGATCTAAGACCAGGGAGATTTATTCTGCTAAGATTTATCTTATTTTCTGGTAAAATTCAACCCCAAGTATTCCTTACATTGATTGTTATATTAGCAATCAGTATATAATCAGTTATACCAGTAATCTTACACAGAACCTATTCCCTGATAACAGTGAAAATTTACAATGTCCCAAGATTAAAATATATGTGTGTATGTACATATCTATGTCTTTTTTAATTTACTTTCTGTGAACCTACCTAATTATGGACTCTAAAATGATGTATATTTGGCTGTATGGATAGATACATATGATATATATGTATGCAAATATGTATTTCAATATCTGTGTATGTATTATATTTCATAGTTGAAAAATATTTCACAGCCGTTCAGAACAATTCTTGCTCACAGAAGCATTGTGAAATAACTTGGCATTTGGAAGACCTCATGACTCTTGATGAAATAGAACAAATGTCATTTTGAAGATAAATTATTGCTCATGGAGACTTATCAAGTCCTAGAATCTAAGTTCTAATAGTGCATTGTCTTTTATGAAGCATATTTGTTTGTAATTATAAGCTCACTATCACATGTTTTTAATGTTTTTCTGTGAAAGCAAAGGATCTTGTTTGTGCTCTTTATTTTCTCCAGAAATGTCAGGCTAAAAATGTATCACAAGAGTTGCACATGCATGTTCAGATTGAAAAAGAAGTTTGTGGCTTGGGTTGACAATTTTCAATCACAGCTACACAGTGGAGGCTCTACTCACCTGCAACAATGAGAAATCCATCCAACAGCTGGAAGAGTCCATAGGCCAGTGGGAAGGTAAGCATCTGGACCAACTGTTTGGCAGTGAAAGATAACTGGAGCATGGTGACGCACATCTGAATATTCTGAGCTCCAGTTTCTAAGGAAATCGTCCTGCATCTACCAATGAAAGAATTTTTCAAGAGTCACATACTAGCATTAGGACTCTTCTTAAATTTTTCTCATATATATAGCAATAAATGTAAGCTATGAGCTTAGACCACTAAAATTGTTTACTCGCAGGGCGCCTGGGTGGCTCAGTTGGTTAAGCCTCCAGCTCTTGATTTGGGCTCAGGTCATGATCTGACAGTTCATGAACTCGAGCCCTTCTTCTGGCTCTGAGCTGACAGTGCAGAGCCTGCTTGGGATTCTCTCTCTCCTTGCCTCTCTGCCCCCAAAAACATCTACTTGTTTCATAATAATGTGCTGAATGTGCCTGTTTTGTAGCTGGTCTTCTCTCCAAGAGACTCTTTGGAGCAGGACCCCAGGAACCCCACCCTAGGAATCAGGGTGGAGAGACATGATATACACACAGGAAAGGCCCAGTAACAACACAAGACAAAATATGATGGAGGGTCAGGGGGATGCTATAGAAATTCATAGAAGTGGCATAAATGGTTAGAGAAGGCTTCACAGAGGCAGAGGGGAATGAAAGGGTGAGGGTGGGAGAGGCATTTCATATGGGACAGTGACTGAAATTAAAGATCCAGGGACAGGTATGACCTGCACCTACCAGGAGGCGGTGTAAATGCTGTAAGCCAATCTGTGTGGAGTGCAGAGTTGGAGATGAGAATGGAAAGATGAAATAGGTAGGAAAAAGTATAAGCTCAACAACACTTGAAGGTAAACACAAAAACCCTAAGTGAAAACCAAATGTCTAAAACTCTTTGGTGAAAGAGTTTAGGAACACGTTTTTTTCTTACTTTCTATTTTTCTGTATTTTATTGATTTCCTAGTTGGAAAAAAAAATTCAATAAACCTCATTTGAAAAATAAAAACCAGGAGAAAGTAAAAGGAAGACATAAGCAGGACCTCAGGGGCTGGGTAACTGATTTGTCTGTAATTTATAAAGGGGGTCTGCAGGTTTCTATAGATGGAAGTGAAGATGGAAAAGAGGTGTTTCAGAATACAAACCAGCATCTCGATGCAAGTGGATTTGGAATAGGGAGGTAACAAGGAGAAAGTAATGTGGGCATGAAAACATTGGTACGGAGCAAGCTCTACCGCTCTTATTTTATTTCTATTTACTCTCTTGCTTTCTATGCCTTCTTTAGACCAGTCTCATTCCTTTCAGACCCCTGTCAATTACCTGACATGATTAAGCTGCAAAGGTGGACCTCACATCTGGACCATTCACAAGGCAAATGCAGTGTCTCCATCCTGATCTTTCTCAAGCCATCAAGTATGGAGAAACAAGATTGTTAACTACACTTTGCCATAGGAATACTTTCTCTCCAGATCTGATTATATTTCAACCACTCAACAGCCTGTGTTCCTAATTATTGGCTTTGCAAACAAACTCCAGGTCAAATCCTAACTCCACCACAGTCTGGCTCTACAAACTTAGTCAAGTTCCTTAACGTCTTGAAGGATTTGCTCATCTGTGGAATGAGGGTACTAATAGTAACTACTTCTCAGGCTCATAGTAAGAAGTAAATGAGATACCATAAGCAGAGCCTCACTCAGTACCTGGGATAATCCTAAATGCTCCCCAAGTAGACTAGAAATAGATTTCTTCTACAAAATAAACATCAAAACACACACCACTTTCTATTCTCTTTGACTTAAATCAATCTTTTAAGCATTTTAATTTCCCAAACTCCACCTTCGAAGTTCAACTACATAGCTCACGTTTCTTCAATAATTCTTTTCTGACTTTAGAGATAGTACATACTCATCGAAAAACTCAGGAAATATACCAAGAAAATATTAAGAAACAAAATTACTCTTAATCCTACTACTCAAAATTAAACACTCTTAGCATATGGTATATTTCTTCCAGTATTTTTCCATACATAAAATTCTTCTGCTTTCTTCTACAAGGTGGGAATCAAAATGCATACTGTTTCCTATTCTCCTTTAAATTTATCTTTTAAGTATTTCCCAGAAGCATTAAAATTGATGCATCATAGTCCATCACATAGATACCTCATGAATTAAATATCTCCCTATTGTCAGATATTTAAATTGTTTCTATTTTTTATATTTATAAATAAAACTGCAATTAACATCCTTGCACATCAATTTTCGTGTGCTTATCTGACAGTCCTAGATCCAGGACAGATTTCTAGAAGTAAAATCACTGAGTGAACAGCTATAAATATTTATAAGGCTATTCATATGACTAAGTTGCCTTCCAGAGAGTTTATACCAATTTACATTCCCTCCAACAACTCATCTCCAGACATAACAACATGGAGTACTATCATTTTTAATATTTCACAATATTTATAAATTATGCGCCCCAGCTTGTAATGACAATGTATCAGATACATTCCCATCTTATATCTCCAGTTTGCCCTTCCTCCTCTTGCCCCTTATAATTAGCACTTTTACAGAATTTGGCACAATGGATAAATGCTTAATCTCGAATTTTGCTCATGCCCTAGAATGATCTCTATATTTAATGAAACCATCTCACCCCTATCTAATTACTAGGATAAGAAGAGAAATGTGTCCAGATTTCAACATGTGGTGTTAACACCCGAATCCTAATTTCACAGATTACAATTTCCCATCACTCCAGCCTTTGCTCTCATTTACGCAAGAAGTACCGTGATCTTTTCACTCTCTTTATGAGGAGTCATCCTGTTCCATTCACCTTGTAAGTCAAGATTCTTAATGTCTCCTGACATAGCCTGGCAGCAAAGCCTGCCAGTGGCAGTGTGTTTACTTTAACATCCTCAAAAAAAGTGTACGGATAATTTCACTGTACCTCTGCCAAGATTGGTGGGTAAGAAGTGCCAGCAGAAAGCCCATGACATGGCCAATCAAAGGGAAGATGAAACTGATGGTCAGAAGAGTGATGTCTGAATTCCAAGATCCTTTTGCCAACACCACACCAGCAACTGCGACCACCAAAAGGAGGACCCCACCAACAATGGCCCCAATCTAAAGCAAACCAATAAAATAAGTACATGTAAACATCATGTTCTCTCAGCTCTATGATGCAAAGTCCATCACTGCTTCTAAAAGCTGGGAACTGGGGCGCCTGGGTGGATCAGTTGGTTAAGCATCCAACATTGGCTCAGGTCACCTTGGGCTCTGTGCTGACAGCTCAGAGCCTGGAGCCTGCTTCGGATTCTGTTTTACCCTCTTTTTCTGCCCCTCCCCCACTCATGCTCTGTCTGTCTGTCTGTCTGTCTCTCTTTCTCTCTTAAAAATAAATAAACTTCAAAAAATAAATAAAAATAAAAAGCTGGGAACCTAGAAGTTTTGGAACAAAGACAGGACTTACCACCAAATCCAATCTCATTTTATAGAAAAGAAACCTAAGTTCCAAGGTGGTCAACTGATTTGGCTTAACTGAAAATTCATGGGGCTCAACACGATTCCAAGTCTTATTTTAAGATTAGTATTTTTTCCCTGGAAGTAGATTTTGCCAGAAGGATTGGGGAGTGGAGTTTTTCAAGGATAGGACAAATTTGTGAAATAAGCAAAATGTAACAATAAGCCTCCACCATCCCTACACACACTTCCTAGATCCCTCACTGGTACCCTCTTGTCTAAGATTTGTCTTGCCTGGCCGTCTGCCACTCTCTTCCTATCACTTCTTCAACTACCAGTGGATTCCTACTGCTTTCATCCCTGTTCTTCTCTCCTCCAAATAAAATCTACCCATTCTTTACTAGATAATCTGGGCTAATATTATTGGAATAGAGGTACTAACACATACCTCTTCCCTCTCCCAAATGAATACTGTTATTACTTTTGTTGTTCAACAAAAAAGAATTTCCAATAGTTTGAGTTTTAGATCAGATGGAGAGAAAGCCAGACCTAGAATGTTTGGAGAAAATTAGGATTTTGACAAGCTCCCATTCCATGTAGACCATAAACTATAACCTAGTTATAGCCTCAATCTGGATTTGAAATGATTCAAGACGTGGAGGAAGGTGATCTTGGGGGAGCAGAACAAAATAAAAATAACCCAATGCACCAGAGATGTTCTGTGGGTTTATTTTTACTGGTCAAATACAAAGACAGACTGGGCCTCTGCTTAATGGGAAGATGCCAGAACACACAAGAAGACCTACAGTTGTCAAAATCCCTCTCCATCTTTCTATCAAAAAAGGATCTCAAAGTTTAAAAATTCACCAAGAGCAATTTGTTCAGAAAATGTATCAGATCTAAAATTAAAAGAGGACCGGGGCGCCTGGGTGGCGCAGTTGGTTAAGCGTCCGACTTCAGCCAGGTCACGATCTCGCGGTCCGTGAGTTCGAGCCCCGCGTCAGGCTCTGGGCTGATGGCTCAGAGCCTGGAGCCTGTTTCTGATTCTGTGTCTCCCTCTCTCTCTGCCCCTCCCCCGTTCATGCTCTGTCTCTCTCTGTCCCAAAAATAAATAAACATTGAAAAAAAAAAAAGAGGACCAAGAACAAACAATGAAAATATATCAAAATAATGATTAGATTATTCTAGTTTTTTACCAAGGAGCTCTAGAATATTTATGCTTATTATTAAATTTTTTTCTGCCAAAAATCCTATAAAACAGGCAAAAGAAAGGGGTTTTAGATCTGCTCTTTACAGATAATATAAGTGACTACAGAAAATTTATCTTATTTCTCCATTGACACTGAGGGACTAATAGAGGATCTGGAAACACCAAAATTGTAGGGTTTTTTATTACAGTACCTAAAAAGTACTAATAAAATAGAGTACTTGACAGTACTTCATCAAAAATAGAGTATTTGAAAAGTAAGAGGTTCCCACTGTTATACTCTGTCCTCTTATTTTGTAAATAAAATTATAACCATACACGGCCACATTGGAAATTTTCTCCTACTGAAATAAAGTCACCCACTGACACGCAGTCGAAATGTACAACATTTAAGCCTTCCTCCAGTTCTCTGTGCTCAATTGATTTGTCTGCTTGTCAACCCCTCTTCCCGCTCTTGATCTCACTGGAGGAACAGTGAGAGCTGTTCAGTCTTGTGCCAAAGTGAGAAAGCAGCACCCATTTGTGCAGACAAGTGGAGGGGCAGCACTCCGTCAGGGGGAGCCAGACAGCAGGAACTTACACTGAACCAAACCATAAACCCCAAACTAATATGACCTGAGATGTATTTGTTGAACCTTCAGTTAGCCCCAAATGTTTATTTCTTTATACATGTAAAATATAAGTAAAGCATTTTAAAAATCTTCATAAAGCAGCACATAATGGAATCTCACATCTTCTAAAATGATACATAATTGTAAACACTGAAAACACCCTAGGATATTGACACCTTTGTTGAGAATGCCTCGAGATTTAAAAGTCATTTTTAGATATTTTTAAAAGTCATTTCAGAGATATTTTTAAAACAAGGACATTTGCTTGTTTCTCCAGCAGACAAAAGCCAATGCTGGAAAGTCAAGAGGAGGTAGGAGGTCCCAGTTACCATCATTCCATGACCAGACTCTTCAATGCATTCTGCATTTCATTCTGACAGCTTTTCATGTGGTCAGCAGCCACAGCAGTTGTTCATGTGTAGAGACTACAACATCGAAGCTTCCCCAGGAATGCTTCTGAAAAACAGCCCTACTTTTTCATGAAAGCAGCCAATACTCTTCAACACCAGGGCTCTATTGCATGCACACCTGAGCAGCTTTCACCTCAAGAGCACTCATGTGGAATCTTGTGAATAGATGGGCTCTGGGTTCTCTCTGGCCACACATAGGCCTTGGCTTTCCTGTCACTAAAGCAAAAGTCCCATTCTTGACTGTGTCCATAAGCCTCAGTGTATGGGCCTATGGGAATGACAGAGGATGGCTGAGAAGAGTGGAGGAAATATGGAGGTTAGATCCAAAAAAAGCAGAACTGGGGCGCCTGGGTGGCTCAGTCAGTTGAGCATCCTACTCCTGGTTTCAGCTCAGGTCATGATCCCAGGGTCATGGGATCAAGCCCTGCATCAGGCTCCAAGTTGAACATGGAGCCTGCTTGGGATTCTCTCTCTCTCTGTCTCTCTGTCTCTCTCTCTGTCTCTCTCTCTCTCTCTCTCTCTCTCTCTCCCTCTGCCCCTCTCCCCCCAGACTGCCTCTAAAATAAAATTAAATTTAAAAACAAAAATACAGGGGCGCCTGGGTGGCGCAGTCGGTTAAGCGTCCGACTTCAGCCAGGTCACGATCTCACGGTCTGTGAGTTCGAGCCCCGCGTCGGGCTCTGGGCTGATGGCTCGGAGCCTGGAGCCTGTTTCCGATTCTGTGTCTCCCTCGCTCTCTCTGCCCCTCCCCCGTTCATGCTCTGTCTCTCTCTGTCCCAAAAATAAAAATAAACGTTTGAAAAAAAATAAAAACAAAAATACAAAAAAACAAAAATTGCTGGGTGTGGGATTGTATCTGACTGGCCAGTCTGTTACAGTCATTGTCTACATCTGTCTTTCCAGTGTCTAAGTCTAAGGATACATTAACTGCCATGTGGAGCTGCTTACCTTGAGAATGATTTTGGATTGCTTGGGCCACCTATAGTTCACATAGATACCAAAGGCCACAGGGATGGTCAGGCACACAAGGGTGATTCCTGGGGAGAAGAAAAATCCATCAGATGATATCTCCTCTTACCTTGACTTCCCAGTCCTCAACAATTTCTATTTCAATTAGATATAGGCTTTAATTAAAGCTTCATTTTAGGGGTGCATGGGTGGCTCAGTTGGTTAAGCATCCCACTTTGGCTCAGATCATGATCTCATGGTTCATGGGTTCAGGCCCCACACTGGGCTCTGTGCTGACAGCTCGGAGTCTGGAGCTTGCTTTGGATTCTGTATCTCCCTCTCTCTCTCTGTTCCTCTCCTGCTTACACTCTGTCTCTCTCTCCCTCTCTCTCTCAAAAATAAATAAACATTAAAAAAATTTTAGGCTGCATTTCATTTCTGCATCCACCTCCAAATATAAAGAAAGAAAAAATCTTTGGAAGATAGTCTTTGAAGGGTATATGTTACCACTGAATGCCACCATTCTTGTTCCATCATTTCTCTCTCAAAATCCCCCTGACGATCACATGGAATTTTAGAGACAACCAGAAATGTAAACATTAGAAAACAGGCAGACTCAGCAAAATTCTTTGGTTGCTATGCATGAGGTCACCTCTCTACGACCACAGCTATTACTTCCCTATGTGAAGCCAATGGGCCATTTGTTTTGCAAAGTAAAGAATACCTATTGCGGATATAAAAAAACAGCATCTGTTACACATACCAAAGAATTTCTCATATTCTGCAAGTGTGGCCAGGTAACCTAAAGGTGGGTAGGAAAAAAATGCCTTTTAATTAACACAAGTGAGTAAAGGCATTGAAGGCAGGCTCAGGAGAGCAGAGGCCCACTTGCCAGCAGGATCCACACACTAACCTTTTCCAGTGCTGTTTTCCAAATCCGGCCAAATGCCTGCAATACTGGCTCCAAAGTTACATGAGTTGCTCATAATATGTTGGGTTTTAATTGTTTACAAGTGCCTTTTAGAATGTATTATCAAAACAGAATATGTTAATTTACTGATCAGAATAAGTTGTGCATAAAATCATGATTTCCTAAACTAGGATTTCACTCAAATTTTACAAATTTAATGGGCTTCAGCTGTCATTAGCACATGTTTTTCAGCTATGGGTCATGGTTTGTAAAGCCCTCCAAGTGATGACTAGAGACTCCAGATTAACACTTTAGACTTTTAAGAATCATAATTTCTGCCAATTCTCCAAAAACTCTGAGCAAACGAGGATAGCCATATCATTTTACCAAGGTTTCCTTCTAAGCCTAGTAAGTAAACTGAGATCTCTAGGGAAAGGGCAGAGTTTAATGAGAAATGACAATGAGGAAAGCAGATATGGAAGAGATATGGATACGGTTGTGACCTGTGAATATGCTCTCTAATAATCAATAGGAATCATTCATGCTGGATCGGTAAAGATATCAAGATTCACGGGCCATGTGAAAGGTGGAACTGTAGGAACTAAAGTCTCATTAGACCCACTGTGATCCAGTTAACCAATGGCATTACAGTGAATTATATATGGTGTTTTTGTTTTTGTTTTTAATAAACAAGTTCTCTTTCTTTATTTTCAAAAATGAACTCTTGCAGTGTTAAGAGCTTGGCTTTGCAGTCATATTCCCAAGTCAGAATATCAGTTCTTTGCTGACCAGCTGCACATTCTTAGCGAAGTTAATTAACTTCTATCATCCTACAAATGTAGGAAATGGAACTACTAATAGAATCAATGTGGAAGTGTTATTTAAAAAATTAGATCGTTTATTTTTTATTTTTTATTTTTTTAGAGAGAGAAAGAAAATGAGTGGAGAAGAGGAAAGAGGGAGAGAGAGAGTATCTTAAGCAGGCTCCACATTCAGCACGGAGCCCAGTGCAAGGCTCAATCCCACAATGCTGGGATCATGACCTGAGCTGAAATCAAGAGTTAGATGCTCAGGAACATGACAAGGATGTTCACTCTCATGGACATCTCTGTTATTCAACATAGTGTTGGAAGTCCTAGCCTAAGCAATCAGACAACACAAAGAAATAAAAGGCATCCAAGTCAGAAGGAGAAAGTCAAACTTTTACTCTTCACATGTGACATGATACTCCATGTGGAAAATCCAAAAGACTCCATCAGAAAATTACTAGAACGGATACATGAATTCAGCAACATCGCAGTATATAAAATCAATGTACAGAAATTGGCTGCATTTCTATACATCAATAATGAAGCAGCAGAAAGAGAAATCAAGGAATCAATCCCATTTACAATTGCACCAAAAATACCTAGGAATAAGCGTAACCAAAGAGGTGAAAAATCTATACACTGAAAACTATAGAAACTTATGAAAGAAATTGAAGAAGATACACAAAAAAATGGAAAAACATCCATTCTCATGGCTTGGAAGAACAAATATTGTTAAAATGTCGATACTACCCAAAGCAATCTACATATTCAATGTAATCCCTGTCAAAATAACACCAGCATTCTTCACAAAACTAGAACAAATAATCCTAAAATTTGTATGGAACCAGAAAAGACCCCAAATAGCCCGAGCAATCCTGAAAAAGAAAACCAAAGCTGGAGGCATCACAATTCCAGACTTCAAGCTATACTACCAAGCTGTAATCAAGACAATATGATACGGGCACAAGAACAGACACATAGATCAATGGAATAGGATAGAGAACCCAGAATTGGATCCACAATCATATGGCCAACCAATCTTTGGCAAAGCAGGAAAGAATATCCAATGGAAAAAAGACAGTCTCTTCAGCAAATGGTGTTGGGCAAACTGGACAGCGACATGCAGAAGAATGAACCTGGACCACTTTCTTACACCATACACAAAAATAAACTCAAAATGGATGAAAGACATACACGTAAGACAGGAAGCCATCAAAATCCTAGAAGAGAAAACAGGCAACAACCTCTTTGACCTCAGCTGCAGCAACTTCTTACTTGACATGTCTCCAGAGGCAAGGGAAACAAAAGCAAAAATGAACTATTGGGACATCATCAAGATAAAAACTTCTGCACAGCAAAGGAAACAATCCGCAAAACTAAAAGGCAACTGACAGAAAGGGAGAAGATATTTGCAAGTGACATATCAGATAAAGGGTTAGTATCCAAAATCTATAAAGAACTTACCAAACTCAACACCAAAAAAAACCCCACAAATAATCCAGTGAAGAAACGGGCAAAAGACATGTCTTCTTTTCCAAAGACATCCAGATGGCTAAAAGACACATGAAAAAATGCTCAACATCACTCCTCATCAGTGAAATACAAATCAAAATGACAATGAGATATCACCTCACACCTGTCAGAATGGCTAACATTAACAACAGATGTTGGCAAGCATGTGGAGAAAGAGGATCTCTTTTGCACTTCTGGTAGGAATACAAACTGGTGCAGCCACTCTGGAAAACAGTATGGAGGTTCCTCAAAAAGTTAAAAGTAAACTACCCTAGGACCCAGCAATTGCACCACTAGGTATTTATCCAAAGGATGCAGGAGTGCTGTTTTGAAGGGGTACATACACCCCAAAGTTTATAGCAGCACTATTGACAATAGCCAAAGTATGGAAAGAACCCAAATGTCCACCAATTGATGAATGGATAGAGAAGATGTGGTATATACATACAGTGGAATATTACTTGGTGATCAAAAAGAATGAAATCTTGCCATTTGCAACAACATGGATAGAACTAGTGAAATAAGTCAGTCAAGGAAAGACAGATATCATATGATTTGACTCATATGTGGAATTTAAGATACAAAACAGATGAACATAAGGAAGGGAAGCAAAAATAACATAAAAACAGAGAGAGAGACAAACCATAAGAGACTCTTAAATACAGAGAACAAACTAAAGGTTTTGGATGAGCAGTGTTGGGTGGGAGGAAGAGCTAAAGGGGTGAGGGGCATTAAGGAGGAGACTTGTTGGGATGAGCATTGGGTGTCATAAGTGATGAATCACTAAATTTTATTCCTGAAATTATTATTATATGTTATCTAACTTGGATTTAAGTTTAAAATTTTTTAATTTTTTTAACGTTGTATTTATTTTTGAGACAGGGAGAGACAGAGCATGAACAGGGGAGGGTCAGAGAGAAGGAGACACAGAATCTGAAACAGGCTCCAGGCTCTGAGCTGTCAGCACAGAGCCTGATGCAGGGCTCGAACTCACGGACCGCAAGATCATGACCTGAGCCGAAGTCGGCCGCTTAACCAACTGAGCCACCCAGACGCCCCTAAAAAAATTTTTTTTTAATTTTTTTTAGAGTTGGACACTCAACTGACTGAGCCACCCAGGCTCACTATCCAAGTAGTTTATTTTAAAATCCACATAAAGGAGGCACATAATAAACAATGGCTATTAGTATTACCATCACCATTACTATTACTGTTCCATTTCACAAGCCCAGTACAGACCTATATTCTGATATGGAATGGTGAGATTCTGCTCAAGATTCCAGGACAAGGTGTAGAGATACAGGCAGAGTGGCATCATTCCCAGGGCAGCCACAGTGGAACAGGTCGTCATAGTGATGCTGAAAGTGAAAATAAAAGGATGCATAAGAGGAAGAGTTTGAATGATGAAGTCCTGACCAAAAGCAACTCCCAGAGCATACCTTAGAGATCACATGGGGTGAATTACTTGAAGCTCACTCCTATCTTGTTATTCAACAAATGACTTCATATGTGTCCCAGAAACAGATTTCCAGCAGTATTTGACATTCATTAATTAACCCCTATTTACTTAAGAATCTACTTGTTCTAAATGTTCTGCCAGGTCCTAAAGGGTTTTTTTCTTTATAGAGTTTTTTCTATTGAGATATAATTCATAGACCATAAAATCCATTATTTTTAAAGTGTTTTCAGTATATTCACAAGATTGTGCAAAAACATTATATATTTCTATATTTTTTTCATCATCCCAAAAAAAAAGGAACCCCACCCTCATTCTCTTCTCCTAGCCACTGGCAACCAGTAATCCACTTTCTGTCTTTATAGGATTTCCCATTCTGGACATTTCATATGAATACAATCATACAATAGGTGGTCTTTTTGGTGTGTCTGGCTTCTTTTACTTAGCATAATGTTTTTGAGCTTCATCCACATTTTAGCATGTATCAGTACACCATTTCCTTTTTATGACTGAATCATATTCCATTGTATGGATAGACCACATTATTTCTGCCCATCCACTAACTGATAAACACTTGAGGTGTTCCCTCTTTTTGGCTATTATGAATAATGCAGCTATGAATATTTGTGCACGATGTTTTGTGCAGACATATGAAATCAATTCTCTAAGGTGTATACCAGGAGCAGAATTGCTGGATCGTAGTTTAATTTTTTGAGGAAATGCCATTTTCAAAGCAGCTGCACCATTTTACGCTCTGCCATCAATATATGAAGGCATTCTGTTAAAAATTTTTGCACAAATATTCATGAGGGATATTAGTGTGTAGTTTTATGTTCCTGTAATGTCTTTGTCTAATTTTGCTACCGGGAGATGGGAATAGGGCAAATTTGCCACAAGACTAAGTGTTTGCCCAATGTGAAGTGCTATAAATATCTGTCAGAAGAGGGCATCCAAATACCACATGCCCTAAGTTTCCCATTGGATAGAGAAGGGACCCCCACAGCACAGATCCTCAGAGCAAGCTGGACAGAGCCAGCGAAGTTACAAAACCATAGCAAAAAAGAATTGATATGGGATGCTAGACTAAATTAAAAGTTCTCTTTGGGGCACTTTCATGGCTTAGTCAGCTGAGCATCCAACTCTTGATTTGGGCTCAGGTCATCATCCCAGGGTCATGGGGTCGAGCCCTGTATTAAGCTCCACGCTGAGCCAAGAGCCTGCTTAGGATTTTCTCTCTCTCTCTCCCCCTCTGCCCCTTTCCTCTGCTCACTCTCTTCTCTCTCTCTCTCTCTCTCTCTCTCTCTCTCTCTCTCTCTCTCAAAAAATTCTCTTTGAATTCTAATATTGTATAACCCCATGATTATAGATAGGAATTGAAGTAGAGTGATAAAGTAAGATTTCTAGACTTCAAAATGGTGGTGTGATTGACAGAATAAGTGGTCACTTAGCATCTGAGAGGACATGTTAAGTTAGGGATGACAACAGAACATCCACCAGAAATATCCCAGGTAGGCAAAGGAAAACTCAGGACCGCAGCTGCTGTCCATCACTAGACACACAAATCCGGCCATCTTGGGAAGTGAAATGTAGGTGCAAGAGCTGAATGAACCAAATCCAAACAGCCTGACAATAGCCAAGCCACACAACTTCACCAGGAAAACAAAGGTGAATGATCAGAACAGAGTTTTGGTCTTTGTTGAACAAAGCTGGGATGATTTCTGATAGACAACTGGGTTTGTTTATCTCTGTCATTATTGAGATTATCTCCAAGTGAAAAAGATAACAAGGTGCTGTGGGTCTGGAAGATTTGCAAATACTTAATATCTAGAGTAAAAATCCATCAGTTTAGAACCTTTAAAGACTCTGTATCTTGACTACTGTACTTTTATTGCATCCTATCAAATGTTATCGCTTCATCAATTTATAATATGTTGTTTCTATTTTTTCTGGCTAATAAAGTCTTGTTTTCCAAGTCTCTACATTTCTTAATTGGAGAACAGAACTTAGTCACACATGAAAATGCATAGCTTCAGTGCAAGGGGTAAAGCATGCATAATGGGACCAGGGGCATGGGGAGCAGAGCCGTGGAAAGAGCTCTCCTGCTTTGGACTGGGGCCAGAGAGGGGCCACCGTGCATGTAAAGAAAGACAGAGAAGCGAGTGGAGAGCTAGGAGATTACATTCGATGAAAGCTGAGAAAGGAGAGACTTCAAATGTAGGCTAAAAGCCAAAAGTAGATCAAAAAGGATGAAAACCCAAGAAGTCCACTTAGGACCATCCAACCTTCCCCAGTGTTTTGTGCCTCTACCCCAGAACAATCCTTTCCTCCGCTCTACTCCACCCCCAGCTCCCAAACCCAAGCTGCCTTTTGTCCCTGTCTGGATGACAGAACCAGTGAAAGAATAAATCAAAAGGAAATGGGTAAATGGAAATGAGAGATCCTTCAGGCCAACAAGATCTTTTCTAACTGATGGGGAAAATTACACAATCTGTCTAAACATGCACAAACTGCTTCTAGACACTGTTACGCTGCTCTATTCAATGAGGTGAGGCAAATGGAGCATCGCATAACACAACCCGCGGGAAAACAAGAGTTTATCCACCTCAAATCCAGGTCCAGAGTCTGGAAACTTCTTAATATTCATTGTTTGAGTTCTCACAGCAGACCGCTTTGTGCAGGGTATATGTCCAATCCGTGTCCGTGGCCCAAATGGCCAAGAGACGGGGAGGTGAACCACCTCCCAGCCCACCAAGGAGAAGGAGACCCTCTGCAGGGCTAAGGTCTTCTGCAGGGATAACAAGGGTCCTCCAGCACTTCATCAGGCCTTCAAGTCACCATCGTTCTTCCTCATAATACAAATCACCAATGTTTCCATCTAATTACCTTGCCTACAAACCATCTATGATTATTTTGACATTTTCTACCAGAGTGTTTATACTCTTGGCAAAGCACCAACCGCTCTGTTTCAAGGATATTAAAAATACTCCTCTGCACTCTCACTCATTGCTGATGAACTTGCAAAATGAGATACTTTGACAATATAGATAAATTACACAGGGGTTTACCCTTTAGCCCAACAATGCTATAGGTTATGGGAATCTATCCCTAGAATGTACTATCAAAACTATGAAAAGACACGTGCCCAAGGTTATTATATATGTATTCAATATACCTTTTCTACCTGGCAATCTCTGGCAATAGTGTTCCAGGAAAGTGGAAACTGTAAAGCCCCTTGAAGCTTCAGTTTGGAAGCAATAGGGCATCACTTCTGTGTCATTGTATTAGTCAAAATAAGTCACCAGACCAGCCCAGATTCAAGGGATGGGGAATAGGTGCCCCCGTCTGGATGGGAGGATGAACCTTATCACATTACAAAGGAAGGTGCATACAAGAATGGAAGGAATCTGTGGCCATATTTTGCGATCTATCAAAGACAAATACTAAAATATTCGCAGTCAAAATAATACGTGGAGCTGGCCTCAAAAAAAATCCATTGGGTAAGTGGGGATAGAAATGAAATGAGATGGATCATAAGTTAATAATTGCTAAAGCTGGGTGAAGTATACCAGAGGGTTCACTATTCTTTCCACTTTTATATATATTTGCCATTTCCCACAGTAAAAAAATAAACAAATGTCCCTTCCATCTTTGTGGGAGACTCTATATCTCCCATAGTGATAGCAGTGGGAGACTGCTATCAATCTGGTGATTCAGGACTTTTTTGTGTCATATTTTATGTTGAGAGGCTTTGTTGTAAATCTAGTATAATGCATACACCGGCATGGGGGTATCTAAAGCATCTTCTGCCCAACCCTGGCTGGCCTTGGGCTTTTCCTTCCTCAGTGCTGCTGTGTGCCTCTCTGTACTTAGAACATTCATCCTTGAGGAACAGCTCCCATTGCCCTGCAGACATTTTTATTTGCATTACCTCACAATACTGTACCTTACATAAGTGCTTGTTTACCTATCAATGTGTGGTACACTTATCAACTCTGAGTTGCTTAAGGACAAGGACTATATTGACCTCCACACCCATAGGATCTGGCAGTCTCATGCTATAGCATCTTGGAGGAGGTCATTAAATACCAAATAAATGTATAAATCAAAGAATGAACCAATGTATCAAAACACTGGTGCTAGGACAATGTTCTCTCTGCTCTTCCTCATATGTCACATATCTGCAAGTGAACGTTGCAAATCTTAGTGAAATGATCCCTTTACACTGAATTGCAATGGTAAACATCCCAACCGTAATCCAGGAACAGAAATTTTCTATTAAAAAATAACTAAAACCATGCTTTCCCAAGTTCAAATGTGAAAAACATTTTGAGGAGCAAATATTTAGTTGATTGGAGTCCTTTTCAGAAATCCAGACTTAGGTAACTCACAAGTGATTATATGTTTCCCTTCTCCTCTTATTTCTTTTAATCTTCTATTTTCTTTTTAGTCTTCTAAGATTTTCTTTTATGCAGTCCTATTTTATTGCTGCTTATTCAATGAATAGAGGCTTTTTCTTTGTTTCTCTTTGAAGCAATCACACAATGCACCTTACTCTGTAGCTTTGTTGCTTTTTTTAATCCACTTAATCATAGGTAACCCTTCAGGACAATACATGAAGCTTAAACTCATTCGCTTAAAGAATGAAGAGTACACCATGATCTAAATATGTCATAATTTCTTCAATCACTTCATTAATGATGAATCAATTGCTTTGAGTGTTTTTCCATTATAAACAAAGTGATGATAAACATTCTTGTATGTATTTCCCTTGAAATAATTCTTTTATTTCTGTAGATTCCTCAAAGTGGAATTGCTTTATCAAAGGTTTTTTACTTTTAACAGATACTGCCATATTATTTCACAAAAAGATTGTTACATTTCACAATCTTTCCCACACTGAAT